CGGTAGCCTGGAAACAAAACCCTGCAATCGCGATTGAAGGGTGGCCTATTCCCAGGTCCCGTTCTTCCAGTAAAAATGCAAGACAAGAACATGTGCTTGCAAAGATTTGAGTGAGTCTTGCAGATCTCAAGGCATCTTGAAAAAACAATCCGGCACAAAATTCAGCAAAACAGGTCTACGTGCAAACAAAAGCAAAAGTACATTGCAAAAATAGCAAACAAACGCAAAACAACGCAAATCTCCGAAATCTCCTGTAAACAAGAAACAACATTTAGGGCTGCTAAACACAAGCTAAAAGACAACCGCATGAAAGTGGCCTCCACAGTACACCTGATGCGGAACAGCAGCAAAGTGCTAGCCCCAGTCACTTCTGGACCTGCTGGAAAAGGTCGAAGCAGTTTCTTACATTCCTTCTGGGCCTTTTGGCGAAGTTTCAGGACTGCTGGGCCTTCCGGAGAAGTTTAGGCAGCATTTGAGAGGCCTAATCAATCTGAGCCCTCCAAGGAAGGTGCTTCACTTGCCACAGCGCAGAAGGCGCGGGCGCCCTTCTGGCCGGGCAGTAAGACTGCGGGCAAGGTGTCCAAAAATACCTGTTAATAGATGCGGCGTCCATTGCTTTACAGGCCCTTGCAGGTGCCCGCATGCACAGACTTAAGACTTGGTTGTAGCGCAGGCGGGCAGTTGTTCCATGCGAACGCCAGTTCAAAAAAGTCCACGTTAGCAGAGCAGTTGTGAAGACCCCAAACTTCACACTTGCCACCTGGTTGGTTGCAAACCGCACAAGCAACCAGCAACCTTCCTTGCTTTGCTTTCACTCTCTCTAGGGAGGGTGTTCCAGTTCCCCCCCACAGAGCTCCTACGTGGCCTGTTTGGCATGTCGCCTCCGAATCATGCATATTCGTGGCTCGTCAATTGCGAGTCCTTGGGGCTGCTGCCAGCAGAATTGTGGGGGCTCCAGAAAGCTTGCAATTCGGTAAGTCGCTGCACTGATGCGAGCCACTGTGTCAATTGCATGCCTGCTGCTGTAAGTTCCTGCAAGTTACTGGCCTGCTGCTGTGAGCTCCTGCAAGTTACTGGCCTGCTGCTGTGAGCTCCTGCAAGTTACTGGCCTGCTGCTGTGAGTCGGCCGAATTGACAGGTGCCAGAAGCCACCGCAGAGGGCCTGCGAGCCACGGAGCGAATGGCATGCCAATTGACGACCTAGGAGTGAATTGCAAGCTTCTCGGAGCCCCCGCAATTCCGCGGCCAGTGGCCCCCAGGGCTCGCAATTGACAGGCCATGCAAATGCATAATTCTGCTGCGAGCCTCCGAATAGCCCCTGCAAGTGCACTGTGGGGGGGAACTGGAACACCCTCCCTAGAGAGAGCACATATTGCGTCGGGGTAGGGCCAGGAGGTCAGGATTTATATAAATTTCTAAATGGCTCCTCAGGGCTCCAAATGCGGAAAAAAAGGGCCCTGAGGCCATTTATTTTTTATTTTTACTTCTCTAAATGGCTCTAAATGTCTCGTTTGGCGTCCTGCTGTGCGAAAAACGCCCCAGTTCAAAGCATTTATAGCATTTATGCTTACAAAAACTAAAACTAAATGGCCTTAGGGGCCGTTTTTTTCGTATTTTGAACCCCGAGGAGCCATTTAGAAATTTATATAAATCTGGGCTGGCTCTCGGCTCCCGAGGCTCTGACAACTGGCCAGGTCATGGGCACGCCTTACATCAAACCGGGCAGCACTCGGAATCAAACCGGGCGGCACTCGGAACCAAACCGGGCAGCGCTCGGAATGAAACCGTGCGGCACTGGGGATCAAACCGGGCACGCCTGCTGCAGCTCTGGGGCCCGTGACCGACCGGTTATCCGGCGGTAGGCTCCCAGGGCTGCGGTGGGTGGCCGCGAAGTCGAGGGGGGCGGTTATCAGTAACGGTTGGCCCCCTGACGACGCTTCGCGCGGGGCGAGGCCCTGGGAGCCGTCCAGGAAATGGGGCGGCTCCGAAACCTCACCAGCCACTACCCCAGGGGGGGCTGCGGGGAAGGAAATGCTGCCCGTTTTTCTGCAGCTCCTGCCCTCACAGGACGCTGAGGAGCTCGGAGCTTGTGGCCCGAGAGCAGCCCATGTACAGATGTTTCAAGGTGAAGTGGGGCGAGTCCGTGTCGCAGAGCCAGACTCGGCCCTGCAGGGTCAGGCCCTGCACGGAGGCGTAGGTGGCGCTGCAGAGTCGAGTGTGCTTCAGCAACTCCTGGTGCTCGAAGCTTTGCCCGCTCTCCAGAGACACGCGTTCTCCCACCTCGCTCACAGTCACAAAAACGCCCTTCCGCACCTTGCCGCCGGCACCGACGAGTCGCAGCCCCGGCCAAACTCGCATGGTCTGGGGCGCGTTGGTTCCGGTTGCCCGTGATCCGGCGTACTCCACCAGCAGCGCATTGTCAGGAGCCCTCCGGCGGTTCTCGCGCTCATTAATCTGCAGCCGCTTGGCATGGGAGATGACCAGGCACACTTCCGGTTTACTGTGACGGGGGAAGCGCTCTCGGGCCGTCCGTATCGCCTCCCGTAGTGGCACCTCCTCCGCTTCATCTACTCGGAGCCAGGTCAAGAAGGAGAAGATGCCCTCATCGAAGCGCCAACGCTCCGACAGCTGATGACACCAGCCGCCCGCCAAGTCGTGCAGCAGTTGGCTGTCCTTCAGCTCTCGACAGACCTCCGCTCCGGCAAAGGAATCGAGCACGGCGGGGAGCTGTCGGAAGTCGCCAAGGAGCAGGAAACGCATGGAGGTGTTCATGCTCAGGCAGGCGATGTCTGCCCATAGAGGCGTGTCCAGTTGCGTCAGCTCTTCTATGACGAGCCAGGTGGCGCTGCAGTGCCCGCTGCGCACGTTCCGGCGCACCCAGTGGTCTGCCGTCTGAGCTCCAAGGCCTACGTTTTGTACGGCGGCGTGCGTTTTGGTGATGATGTGCACCGAGTCCCCGTGCTCCCTGAGAGCTTCAACAATTTTTTTGGCCAGATGAGTCTTGCCGCAACCTGGGAAGCCTGTCAGCAGCAGGCTCTCTCCGTCGAGGCAGTGGCTGACGGGGTCCTCCACGTGGCGCCACGGCACCTTCTCCCGAATGAGCTCCGCCTCCATGCTGGGCTCCCGGTAGCAGCCTTGCAGGCCCGTCACCCCCTCGCAGCGGTACATGGGCGTGCCGTCCCGATGTGACATCTGCAGAAGTCGCTCGATGGCGGGCCGATGTTTTTTGGGCACGTCCTGCATGACCAGGCAGTCCGTCTTCAAGCACTTCAGATAACGCCGCGGCACCTCGGCCAGAGCCTTGCGAATCCGGGCCACCGCCACGTACTCGGCTCCCATGATGTAATCGTGCACGGGGCGGTAGCTGCTGTTAGACAGCAGTTCTGTGACGAAGACGTGGTCCCAGTGCATTCGGCCCGCGGCGTCGGTGAAGGTCTGGCGCCAGCTGCACCCCTCGCCATCCATCTGGTGATTGGAGGTCCTCATGGAATAGACGAGGTCCAGGTTCCGGGCGAAGAGCCCCACCAAGGCGTTGATGGACAGTTTGGCCATATGCTCCTCCCCTTCTGGCCAGGCAGACTCCATGGTCTCGAGGGCCTGTTCCAGCCAGCGCTGGTCCACATGCGCCGTTGCGTCGAGGCTCTGAGACAACCGAGACATCTGAGACATTGAGACGCTCCTTGCCGGTCCCACGCAGACCCCCCCGAGACAACCGAGACATCCGAGACATTGAGACGCTCTACGGCACACCGTCTCAATGTCTCAGATGTCTCACGGCCCCTCCCCTTCCCTCCCTCACACAGGTACGCCGTCTCAATGTCTCAGATGTCTCAGTGTCTCACGGCCCTCCCCCTTCCTCTCTCTCACATAGGTACGCCGTCTCAATGTCTCAGATGTCTCAGTGTCTCACGGCCCTCCCCCTTCCTCTCTCTCACATAGGTACGCCGTCTCAATGTCTCAGATGTCTCAGTGTCTCACGGCCCCACCCCCCTCCATCTCTCGCACAGGTTCGCCGTCTCAATGTCTCAGTGTCTCACTGCTCCTCCCCTCTCTCACACAGGTACGCCTCAGATGTCTGAGTGTTTTACAGACGCAACCCTAGAAGGGGCACTGTTGGGGCAGCTGCTCTTTGAGCATAAGATCGGTCACTTCGAGCAGCAGGCCGCACTGTCCGCTCATCAGCCAGACCTGCTTCAGCTCCGCGCGCACCTTGCACTCTCGGCTGGCCAAGTCGCCCGGTTCCTCCAGGGGCTGCTGCTCCGCGTCCCAGAAGCGGACTCGGGACAGATCGACCTTCAGTTTGATGAAGCTGTTGCCCCGCGCGGATGTCTTCAAGCATGAGACGAAGCGGGCCTCCACATCTGACGCGGTCAGGTACCGACCGAAGATCTTCGCGTCGCCGAGGCTCCGCTGCGTCAGTTGGCTCTTGACGTCCTTCTCCAGTGTCTCCAGGTCTGCCGCCGCGGCCTCGTTGGGCTCCAAGCAAAGAGGAAGCCGTCGGCCCTCCTCGCTCCCATAGGGGCTAGGGTTCGAGCCCGGGCACTTCGACATGGTCTGGGCCTCGCCCTGCTGCACCGAGTTCAGCATCGCGCTCAAGAAGCGGCCCCGCAACCTGCAGGTCGGGGACGCCCTGGTGCTGAAGACGCTCGAGATCATCGATTACCTCAAGCCCAAGTGGTGGGCCATCGAGAACCCTAGCACCGGACGCCTGAAGACCCGCCCCTACATGCAGGGCCTCCACTGGGACAAAATCACGTACTGCAAGTACGGTTTTCGCTACAAGAAGCCCACGGCTGTGTGGCACAACCTGCCCTGGACGCCCTCACAAGGCCCCTGTCGGAAGGGTGACCGCTGCGAGGCCTTCCGAGGAACTCGTCACCCAGAGACCGCGCAGCGAGGACCGACCAAAGGACGGGAGGGGAGCAACTCGCGGGACCAACTTTACTCCATCCCGCCCGCGCTGTGCGACGAGATCGCCGCGAGCGCGACGCTTGGGTTAAATGGGCAAGGTGCGTCTGTTCAAGACGCCTGAGTACTCCGTCAAGCAGCCGCCTGACCCCGTGGTCTGCAAGCCCCCTGCCAACGGGATCTTGTGCGCACCATCGGCTTCCGGGAAGACCGTGCTCCTTGTGAGCATGATTTTGGAGCAATACAGGGGATGTTTTGAGCGCATCTACATCTTCTCGCCCTCGGTAGAGGTCGATTCCGCCTGGCAGCCCGTTAAGGACTATATCCGGGACGAGTTGGGTGTGAACACGGATCGGGAACAGTGCTGGTGGGAGGACTGGGACGAGGGGGCGCTCCGGAAGATCATCGCCGACCAGAAGCGCATCACCCAGAAGAGCAAGGAGCTGGGCCTGAAAAAACTTTACTCGGTTTTGGTGGTCCTCGATGACCACGCCGACAACCCTGCGGTGCACCGCAAGACGGGCGACGGCGTGCTGGACACGCTCTTTATTCGTGGCCGGCACTTCTGCATCAACACCTGGGTGAGCACCCAGAAGCTGCGGCTCATGAGCTCCGCCGTGCGGGTCAACGTCATGTTCTACTGCGTCTTCCGGTTGCGAAACCAACTGGAGCTGGATGCCTTGGTGGAGGAGCTGAGCGCCATGCTCCCGAAAGAAACCCTCTACGCCATGTACGAGGAGGCCACGAGGGAGCCCTACAGCTTTTGGTTCGTTAACCTCCGCGCTCCCAAGGAAGACATGTTTTGGGTGCGCTTCGACCGGAAGTTCTTGCTACTGAGCCAGATGGCGGCCAAGTTGTTGGGGGGAGGCCCGATGTGCGAAAGTGAGCGCAGCAACATAAGGTGCTGCACCAGCACGCAAGGCATCTACGACCCCAGCCACTGGCCCCCACCAGACAGGCCCCGGCAAACCTCCGACGGCTCCAACGCCAGCGACTTCTCGGCGCGCCCCACCCGGTTTTTCAGGCGCCGTTCTAAAAAGGGCATGACAAGTATCTACGTGGACTCGCGCCTCCGCGCGGAGGGCACGGATAGCAGCTTCTCCTTCGACATCGGTGAGAGTGTGCACATTCAATCCGGCGCCAAACTTGCGGTGTACAAGGTCCGCGTTGCTGACGCCTTCCTGAGCACGGACCGCGGGACGTTCTTGTACTGGGAGGACACGGTGGCCGGCACCCTGCACTACGCGGAGCTCCCGGTGGGCGCGTACACAGGCCCAAGACTCGCTGCCTGGATCAGCTCCAATTTTGCAGCGGCCACGTACACCGCGGAGACCAACGAGCTCGACGTCACCTACGATAATGTGCGCCTGATCCTCAACGACGCCGAGCTCCGGCAGCGCTTCCCAGGCACGGCCCCCTACCCGCCGGGCACGTCGCCCAGCAAGCCCCTGTCCATCAATCACCTCCTGGGCCCCAGCTACCTCACGGGCTCCGTGCAGCGCTTTGTCTTTGTGACGATGAATCCGTTCTCAGAACTGTACCTCAGGTGCCCAACACTGGCCAACGGGGAGACGACAGTGGGCCCGTTGGGGCACGACATCCTCTGCAAAATAGTCGTTTCGAAAGGTGTGGGCCACGTCATGGAGACCGAGACGTCAGAGGGGCACTGGGTTCAGCCCATAACCCTGCGTCACTTGCGCTTCAAGCTCACCGACTACCAGGGCAACATCGTAAACACGCGAGGCACCAGCATTTCCTTTGTGGTTTTCCTCGACACCGAACGATAAAAAAAATCGGTTTAAAAGAAAATGGCTGAGGATGAACCCGCTCCTGTGGCCACCGAGCCCGCCGTGGCCGAGCCTCCCGCGCAGCCGGTGGTGGCCGAGCCTCCCGAGCCTGCCGAGCCTGCCGCGGTGGCCGAGCCGCCGACCCAGGCTCCTCAGAAAGCGCCCCAACCCAAACGGCGAGGGCGACCGCCAGGTTCGAAGAACAAGCCAAAGCCGCCCCCGACACCGGAGCCGCAGCAAGAGCCCCAGCAGGAGCGAGCACAAGAGCCCCCGCCTGAGACCCAGCAACCCGTGCGTATGACGCCCTCGGAGGCTCGCCGCGCCCGGCAGCTCTCGCGAGCCGACCGCTTCCATGAGCTCCTGCTCGCAAACACAATGGACTTGTAAAAAGAGATGATGCCCTTCCCCGAGCGGCGCAATGAGGCCGCGATGCTGCGGGCGTTTCACAAGCAGTATCCCAGCTACAACTTGACGCCGCTGCTCTACAAGCGGCAGCAGCAGTTGATCGATGCTCGCGCCTTCAACGAGTGGCTGGCCAACCGGCGGCAGCGCCAGGAGGGCGAGGCCTATGCGGATGAAGTCGGGCGTGCTGTCGACGCCGTCAACCGAAGGATCCCTCAGCGGACGTGGCCGCTGGGCGGAACACGAGCGACTCGGGCGTCTACGGGGGGCTCATGTAAATGCAGGCCCGACCGGGCCAGCCGGCCCAGATTTATATAAATTTCTAAATGGCTGCTCGGGGTTCAAAACGCGAAAAAAACGGGCCCTGAAGCCATTTAGTTTTGTTTTTGGGTTCTCTAAATGGCTCTAAATGCCTCGTTTGGCGTCCTGCTCTGCGGAAAACGCCCCATTTAGAGGCATTTAGAGACCCAAAAAAAAATCTAAATGGCCCTTGGGGCCAGATTTGCTGCATTTATATAAATCCTGGCCCCCGCCAGCCCCCAGGACAAGAGAGGCGACTGGGCCCGCACGTTGCACGTCAACTTCTAATAAAGAGATGGAGGAGCGGCGCGCGCACGGCTTCCGCGTACGGCCGTCATACTCACAGGTCCTGGGCTACTTTTGCACTTTGCACGCAGCGAAGTCTGAACATCTCGGTGTGAGAACAGAACAGCTAGTTCGCCCTGCGACGGTAACACGTGCAAGCCCAGAGGGCCCGGTGCTTCAAGAGCACATGTTGAAAGTACAACATCACGAGAACTTAGAACCTACCACACAGCTGCACGAATTGGCACATACAAGACACCACGAATGGCCGGTAATGTATGTGAGAGACACTGAATTTGCAGTAATCTCTTGGATCCCCCCCTGACAGCCGCAAAGCCATCTTGAAACACTATGGAACATACGACTTAAAGTCGGCAGCGAAATGGAAATGCCTTTCCCATCACATCACTCTGCTGATATGTAAATCTGGGCTACATCGCTGAGGGCGAGCCCTTGCCCATCGACCTCCCAAACCGCAATGCCAGCATCCTGACTTCCAGCCACTTCTGGCTGGACGACTATCCCCAGAGCTCCGAGCCCGAGCCAGCCCCGCTGCCCCACACGACCGTGGACCCTGCAGCAGCCTACGAGGATGCCAACGAGGGCTACGATGGAGTGCCCTTCCCCCGCCGGGATTTTTTGCGCCCACGACCCTTTGACATGGACAGCCAACCGGATTTTGGGGCCGTGGACCCCGGGCAGGCTCTGAGAAACGACGGGTTTCAGCCCCCAGCACCGCCAAGCTTCCTCAGCCGGATGCAGCAGGCTGAAGCCGCTGCGGGAGCTGCAGCCGGACTGGCGGGCTCTGCCTCTGCCATTGCGGGTCACGGACAAGACCTATACAATGCAGCGCGCAGGGGAAGGAACTGGATCGACCGGAACCTGCGCATCCCGCGCACGCCCGAGGGCCTCGCGCCCCCGCCCGACGGGGTGGCTCCACCCCAAAGCATCGGCCGGCCAAGTGAAGTGGAGCCGCTTCTGGAGCGGGCGGGACAGCGAGCCCAGGAGGTGGAGAGGGCGGCAGCCCGAGACATCGAGCAGTTCATGAGCGAGCAGGTGGCCGAGGCCGAGGTGACCGAGGGCTTCGCTTCCACCGCAGAAGTGGCTGCGGGGGCCGCAGAAGCGGCAGCTGCAGCGGAGGGGCCAGGAGCGTTGGCGCTGTTTGGAGAGGCTGCATTGGGCACGGCTGCGGGCATGGGAGCAGCAGCAGGAGGCCTTGCCGTGGCGGGTGGGGCAGCGGCGCTTGTGGGCACTGCGTGGGCGCTCCACGGCGGCATGGTGGCCGCAGAACATTTGCTGGGCTGGGGCGGCGGTGGCGGCACCGACACGGACGCTTCGCGGCAGGAGTTCGGTGCTGAGCAGCACTTCCAGCTCCGAGAACAACAACGCCCGTGGACACAGTTCTACCGCATGGACGCCGACAGCGAATCGGAGCCGCGGGCCCAGCCGCCCCCGCGAGTGCAGGCTCGCCCCGCGAGGCCCACGCGCTTCCCCACGGGCTTGAACCCCGCTCCCTTGGCGCAGTCCTCGGGCAGCGACTCCTCCCGCGGGCCTCGCATGCAGAGGCCGTCCCGCGCCGCACCGCCCCCTTCCTTCGAGGCGCTTCGAAGCGCGAGCGAGCCGGAGGCCGCGTGAATCTTTCGCTACAAGTAAACAGTATGGAGCAGGTGACTGCTGCCGTAAATGATGAGCTCGTGCAATCTTTGTCGTTTAAGCTCGAGACCTCCAACGTCAACTACGTGCAGAGTCGCAAGGACGTGCAGTACTACCCGAGCTCGCTCAGCGTCTTCACGCCGACCACGAGCCGTGTGTGCCGCATACCGCTGACGAGCGGGATGGATTTTGTGGACGGCGAGAGCGTCAAGCTCGGCTTCACGGTGCGCAACAACTCCGGCACGGCCACGCTGCAGCTCGGCTCGCCGGACCCGTCGTGCCTCATCGACCGCATCGAGGTCTTCGCTAATGGCACTCGCATAGAGGACATCTCCTACTACAACCGTTGCTCGTACCTCTACAGCCTCCTGAAGAACGAGGAGTGGTGGCTGAACCGGCACATCCAGGGTTTCCTGGCGGACGGCGGGGGCCACGCCGAGGAGATCCCGGCCTCGGGCTCCCGCACCGTGCTCATGAGCCCGCACCTCATCGGGATCTTCAATTGCGGCAAAATGCTCCCGCCCGAGCTCAACCTGGTGCTCCAGATCACCTTCGCCGACCCCACGGACGGGGCCCGCAACGTCAGCGGGAGCCAGGACTACACCATTGAAAACGTAAAGCTCTACGCCTCGCAGGTGACGCGCCCTCCGCGAGAGCTTCCAGAGGATCATGACCAGCGGGCGCAGCCTGGTTTTCAGCTTCCCGACCATGCACACACAGCTCTCTTCCGTCCCCGCAGGGTCCACCAGCTATAACATAACTGTCGCACGGGCGTTCACGAAGATGCTGGGCGCCTTCGTGACGTTCAACCGGTCGGATCTGGACACCGTTGACAACTTCGAGTACCCCGGCCCGAACGTGAACCGCAACCTGAAGAGCCAGCTGCAGCTGGGCGCGCTGCAGTACCCTCGCACGGCCAACGAGAGCATCGCGGAGCATCATCACTTCCTCGAGATCCTCGCGGGCACCTACGACTCGAAGCTGCGCAACATGCGCATCCGGGGCAACCTGTACGGAAACAATCAGTTCATCGCGGCCTTCCCGGTCGAGCGGGTTCCGAAACACCCGCTCTCGGGCATCTCCACGCGCTCCGGAGACCTGTGCCGCTTCAGCTTCTCGAACATGGAGGCGGACCGCGTGGACCAGTGTTTTGTGCACATACTTAGCTTCCAATTGTGCACTTTGAGCTCGGCGGGCGTGTCGAGCCTCGACTGATGAAACAGTGTTTCAGAGTATTTCAGAGTGTTTATATGTGCATTTTTTGCTCATTTCGACGCCGCCCTCAGAATTAGGATGTGTGCATCAGTGACTTTTCTCGTGAAACAGGATGGCCAGCTCGTGACGCTGTCGGGCGCGGGGGGTCAGTTCCCTCGACTATAGAGTAAAACATGAGTCTTTTCGAGTCCACGATCACCGGCAACATCCTCAACGATGGCCAGACCCCCATCGCCACCATCGAGATGCAGGGCATCTCCGCGGGGCAGCTCGCCACGGTCCTCACGGCCTACACGCCCCTCACGGACACGACCGCCAACACCGCCTCTATCGGCACCAACTCGGCCGCCGTGGCCGCGCTGCAGACGCAGGTGGCGGCCATCCCCGCGCCGCCCGACCTGACGCCCTACGCTTTGGCGGCCGACCTCGCAGCAGCCGAGGGTCTCATCGCTGCCAACCAGTCAGTCCTCCATAACCAGCCTGAGCACTAGCCTCACCACGGGGCTGGCGGGGAAGGCCAACCAGTCGGCCCTGGACGCCCTGTAGCTGGACGTGAACGGCAAGAGCACGCCTGCCTCCGTGGACCTGAAGCTCGCGAACCATCCGACCAACGCCGCGATGAACAGCGCGATCACCTCGGCCAACAACGCCACGCTGGCCACGGTGGCGGCCAACTACGGGCTCAAGAGCACGCAGGACCAGCAGGCCCTCGACATCGCGGCCCGGCAGACGGCCGCGGACGTCTCCCAGGCCATCGCCACCGCGCTCCTCCCGTACACCGACACCAGCGGCCTGAACAGCGCGGTGGCCCTGCGCACCACGCCCGCGGACGTGGACCAGAAGATCGCCACCGCCCTGCTGCCCCTGGTGGCCCAGACGGCCCTGGACGCCGCGCTGGCCCTCCGCGACGGGAGGCTCGACGCCGCCGAGGCGGCCCTGGCGACGCTGCAGGCAGCGGGCTTCCAGTCGGCTGCCGACGTTGCGGCGGCGCTCGCCACGGCCCTCGCAGCCTACACCGACACCGCGGGGCTCGGCAGTTTGCTGGCCGTGCGGGACGCGCGCCTGGACGGGCACGACACGGACATCCTGGCCCTGCAGGGAGCGGGGCCCTTCGCCACGGCCGCGGACCTCTCGGCCTCCGAGGCGAGCCTGCAATCGGCCATCGACGCGCTCAACTCCGCGCTGGCCGCGCTCACCACGGGCGGCGGCACGAACCTCGCCAACGCCCAGGCGTGGCCCGGGCAGACGACCTGGGACCTCCTGGTGGGCACCAACACGATCCGGAACTGGCACTTCAGCGCTCCCCTGAGCGTCACCCTCGAGAACGACAACTTCACGCTGTCGCTGGCCTGCGACGCCTACACGCAGGCGGAGGGACCTCAGCGCCTACGTCCCGTGGACCGGGCTCCAGGCGCCCATTGTGAATGAAATTGGGCTTGCTCTCGCGTCGTACTACGACTCCGCGCAGGTGGACGCCCTCCTCGCGGGAGCGGCGGTGACCAACGCCCCCGCCTGGGGCGGGAACACCGTTTGGGAGCTGCTGACGGGGCAGGCCCTCCGGAACCTGCACTTCACCGGGCCACTGGTGGCCACGCTCCAGAACTCGGGGAACACCCTGCAGATCGACTGCCAGGCCTACGACCAGAGCCAGACGTACACGCAGGCCGAGGTGAACGCGCAGATCACGAGCGCCGTGGACGCTCAACGTCTCCCAGTACGCCACACAGGCCGACATCGACAGCTCCATCGCCTCCGAGCTCACCAACTACTGGAACCAGGGAGAGACCTCGGCGGAGATCGCGAGCCAGATCAGCTCCTCGGGGCTCCTCACCGAGGCCCAGGGGGACGCAAGATACAACATCACCAATGGGAATGCGGGGGGGGGAGGCATCGTTCCTATGGTTCTGGAGAACTTCCAGCCGCGCATGGTCCGAGCGCTGCTGCCCCAGGCTCCGTTGGGGGCCAATCTGATTTTGGGCAACTCTGCGACGGTTCAATTGACTTGTGACGCGTATTCCAAGAGTGAGAGCGATGGGAGGTACTTCTCCAACAGCGACTTCACGCCCCTAGACTCCAGGTACAACATCGTCAACGGCAACGGCGGGGGAGGCATCATTCCTATGGTTCTGGAGAATTTCCAGCCCCGCATGGTCCGAGCGCTGCTGCCCCAGGCTCCGTTGGGGGCCAATCTGATTTTGGGCAACTCTGCGACGGTTCAATTGACTTGTGATGCGTATTCCAAGAGCGAATCGGATTCACGCTATGCCCTGGCGGGGGTGCCCCCGTCGGATCCCCTGCTGGTCAACGACGTGCGCGCCAACACCGCCGATTATTTGACGCTGCGGGGCGGCAGTCTCGGCATCGAGTTCGAGGCCTCCAACGGGGCCGCCGTGGCCGACCTGTCCTCCAGCCTCTTCAGCCTCAAGACGGGCGTCAACATGCTGACCATGGGCCGCATCTTCGCGGACTCCAGCCTGGGCATCGCCACGGCCGGCAGCCTCCAGGCGGACACGGTGGAGCCCTTGCTTCCGACCAATCAGTTCCTCAACCTGAAGTCGGGCACCGTGTCCGTCAGGGTCACGGACCAGGCGGACCAGAGCCTCTGCACCTTTCGCAACGTCGGAGGTGCACACCGTGGCCCCGAGGCTGCGCGTGGACACGGAGCTCCACATCGACGACGCCACGGGCGCGGCCACGGGGCTGGTGACCAATGCGATCTCCACGCGGGTCCAGGACACAGAGCTCACCATCACCGGAGGCTCTGGGGGCACCGTCGTCAATGGGGCCCTGGATGTGCAGGGCACGCTGACCTCAGCACGGAGCTGCGGGCGCCCACGGTGCGGGCGAGGCCCACAGACGACTACCTCACATTGACGGGCGGCACGCAGGGGACCTACCTCAACTCGGTGCTCTACACCGCCAGTGCGATTCGGGCCGACAACGGCATCGTTTCGAGCCCAGCATACCTGGAGCTCATCGGCGGCAGCACGGGCGTGCGGGCGCAGGGGGACCTGCAGGTCGTGTCCACCGCCAACAGCGCGGACGTGACGGCGGAGGTGCTGAACCTCGCGACTGCGGGCAATGCACGGCTACTGGTGGCCTGCAACGCGGGCTCGGGCGAGCTCACCGCCTCTTCCGCGGGAGGCGTGCAGCTCTACGCCCAGGACCAGGCCATCTTCCTGCGCACGGCGGCGACCGGGCCGGCCAACCTCATCGTGGAATCCAACACGGGCGGGGCCAATGATGGGGAAGTGATCGTGAACTATGGGTTCCAAAATCTCTCGGACGAGAAGCTGAAGCACAGCGTGGAGCCCGCAGGGCTCGAGGAGCTGCAGCAGGTCTTCGACACCGTGGCCCCAAAGTGGTACAGGCGGACCGAGGGCAGCCAGAAGCGCACGCTGGGCTTCATCGCGAATGAAGTGCAGGAGACGGGGCCCGTGGGCCAGGCGCTGTGCGGCAAGCTCGTGGACGAGGAGCTGGGGGAGCTCGTGACGCTCGACTACAACCGCATGTGCTGCGTTTTGTGGGGTGTCTGCCAGGCCCGCGTGGAGGCCTTGGAGAAGAAGGGCAAGAAGCGGGGCCTCCTGATAGGAAATGGCAGAAGAAGGAGCGCTCGAGTTCTTCCGGGAGCTCGCAGCCGAGTACAACGTGCGGGACCCCCGCAAGCTCTACCAGATAGCCCGCAGGGACCACCCGGAGCGTCGGGACCTCACGGCTGCAGGGGCCCGAGCGGCGCTGCGCACGGATGTGGCTCGGCAGGTGCTAGC